CATCTCAGCTTACTATAATATTTAGAAAAGTATTTATAAGACTTTTTTTTTACCATTATTCATTATCAATAGTTATAAAATCCTTCTTTTAGGTATGTATATATATACTATTTTATAGTATGCTATAGTTTTACATTATTTTATACTTTATTATTTTATATTTTATATTTTAACATTGCTATAACAACTATTTTATATATATATACTGAATTTAACAAAAATTTTTATTTGTTATTGAAATTTACATTAATAAAAAAAGAAAAACTTAATTTATATTTCCGCTATCTCAATTGTAAATGAGAAAATACTAAAATTGATCATAAAATTTAAAAAAATGATTATGAAAAACGCTTATAGTATTATTTTTTTAAATCTGTAAGTTGTGACAGCCCTAATATGTTTAATTGTAATATTCTATATCTGATTTTTAACATATTTGAAATATTCTGGAATATTTAAAAATATAATTAAATGTTAAAATATAACATTTTTATATTTGAAGTATGTAATCATATATACGATAATATAAATATATTATCGTAATAATTATATAAAAACGTACTTACAAAATAATACGGTGGTTGTTGTTGCATCAGAGGAGTTGGGAGCTTAGGAGCAGGATCAAATTGAGATTGAGAAGTCTCTCTTTGAGATAAAGTTTTGAAGAGAGATTTCTTTGTTCGAGGAAGTGTTGCGAATGGCACACTAGTAATATTGGCAGAGAAAGTATCTGTAGAAAGAGTAGGGCTTCCATCTAACGTTCCCTCCTCTGTTTTCTTACTTGCCGACTTTTGCTTTGGCGGTCGTGTTACTAATGCTGATATTTTCGCCAATTCAGGACTTGGTTCTCGTTTCGTCTCATCCTCAGGTTTCTTCAGCAATGTTTTTATAGTTCTATAACACATTTCCCTAATAATAATATATCCGTTATTAAATACAATGCGTCTATTCAAACGCATAATATACATTCTTCATACAATAAAAAAACAAATATAAGAGATGCATAAAAATACAATACACATGATTTGAAATTATTACAAAAGAAAAAGAATTAGGCTATTAAAGTAGAAAGATTTACTTACATTTTCTTCATTGGAGCAGAATCTGGTGTTGGTGGCCTCGGAGAAGCTGTACCTAATTTTAATGTAATTTTTGGTACAGCTTCTGAACTTTTATCTTCTTTCTATAACATAATAATATTAAAATATCAGT